AGGAGGCACATGAGGCCAAGAGATATATGAAGAAACTGAGCTTGCCTTTTGGTCATGGACTGAGTGACACAGATGTGGGTGAGACCCGTGGGGAGGTGACAATGGCGGCTTTTATCTTGATTTTGATTTTGCTCTTTTCCTTCCGGGCTTGTCTGGTGGTTTCTGACCCTTTTCTGTGGGTCCCCACTGGAAGATGCTTTAGACTTGTGGCAGGCTTTGGGGCCTTGCTCTGGGCCAATCCCATTTGTTTTTTTTTTTTTTTTTTTTTTTGGATGGAGTTTTACCCACAAGGGGATGGGTAGCTTTGGTTGTTTGATTTAGAAATTAGATTCTTTGCCTTTCCTGTATTGTTTCCCAATTTTATTAAAGTTCCTTCCCATTAAAGTCTCATGTTTTGTGTTGATGCGGCAGATGGCAGAACCCATTTAGAATAGACAGGTTTGTGGGTTTGTGCTGCCCCTCTTCCTACCCTATAACAGTTGCAGGTCAGACTCTTCTTGTCAGGAGAGAGCACAATATTGGGATGGAAATGATACCGGAATTGTCAGGCCTAGTCTCTCAGCCAGGAACGGATCCCAGGCTGCAGGGGCAGCGCTGAGCCCCAGCCACTAGACCCCCATGGGTTGGTGTCTCACAAAGCTGCAGCAGGAACTTCGCAGACACTCAGGCAAGCAAGCAAGAAGAGGCAGGTTTGTTTAGAGAAAGAAAAAGTTTATTGAGGAGAAAAAGAACAGAAATAAAGTGGGACTCCCAGGCCAGGAAACCAGGCCTGGGAGAGGCAAGGAAGCCAAAGTGGAGTTGTGTCTCAGGGAATATATACCTTTTTTCCCTCATTATTCTAAAACTCCACCAGTCTCTTTGTGATTGGTTAGTTCTCGGCTCTCTCACTTAATTTGCTACTAAGTGGGGATCTTCACATTCCTTATCTAACAGCTTTCTCTTTCCCCATTTGTTGCATCTTTATCTTTATGGCCCAATCCTCTGGATGGGCATCCCTGCATTAAAGTTAAACAGCTGCCCTTCTAAGTTGCCCATAAATTAAACCACTCTCCATTTCTCCAATCTCTGCCTCCCTTTACCACCTGAAGGAAACCAGGACCAGCATTAACAATGTTGTCCTTGGTCCTGAGATGTTTGTTTTTCCTAGTGGAATTGGTTACATTCCCTTGGTTGTCCTTATCTCCGAAGCCTCCCTAAATTCTTCAGAGGTCCCCTCCTGCACTGTCCCTAAAACGGCCTAATTCCTAGCTTGCCCTGTGTCTCAGAAAGAACTTGGATCCAGAGTGACAGACCCTGCAAAGAAAGGGTGTTGCAGAAATAAATTCTAGCCTTTTACTCAGGCAGGGGAAGAACAAGCGGTACTTTAGGAATGGTGAGGTCAGGAAAGCTTTATTACTCATGCATGAGGTCCCAGACCTGGGTAGTCCCGTATGGTCTGAGCACTGGTCTAGAGACAAAGAGTTTCTTTTATATACAACCAGTTTACATTGATAAAGTTGGTTAGTTACCATACAAATTCTTGACACAGGAAAAGGGGAAGGACACAGATCTTCCAGGATGGCCTGGGAGATCAATCAGCCTAACAGACTTCCAGACCTTGTTTAGATTTGCTTATTAAGGAAGCAAACTTTTATTTACTTTACATTTCCAGGTCTATGACTCTTTAACAGGGAAATATTTCTTTTTCTCAGCAGTTCCTTTTCAAGGGGACCATTATTTAAGGACTACCCTGCCACCCATAACAAGAGCACAACAACATCACACACATCTCTGCCTCCTTCCCATCCCTGCTATTCCTCCATACATACTTTTGTCCCCCTATTTTTCCCCCAACACTTAATCTGGGAAACAATTAAAATGACTCAAGTTTTTTTTCCATTTCCAGTCCTCATGCTGCACTTAGGACATCATTTCCCCCCTAACAATACCTTAACACTTAAAAAAAAAAAAATGATCCTAAGCATTTCAGAGAATTCTCCTAATATTGAAGGTGATGGTTTTGGAACATTTATATATTACATTTTTTAGTCTGTCACACACACACACACACACATACACACACACACACACACACAAACCCAGGATTTTACAAATAATTTCAGACATTTCACAGGCCCACACCCAGTGTTACAGAGCAGCCCTGATATAAAACAGGTTGCCTGTCTGTGGGTCCCCACCAGCGCGCTTAAAAGGGACTTATTAATACTCCACTGCAGGCACACACAAAAGGTTAATAAAAGGTTTATTTACAAGGGAAAAGGAAATAAGAAAAATGTACAACTCAGGGAGAAAATAGGGAAATAAAGTCTTTAATGCGTCCTACCTGATCCACCGACCTGGAAACCCACAGGCACTCTGAGAGCTGGCCAAGTGCTGCGAGCTGACAGAGAGCCAAAAAGGGGAAGCCCCCCAAAGCCCACATGTCTGGTTTTATACCAAACCTGGCTGCTTAACCCCACCCTCAGGTTCCAACAACCTTCCCTTTGGTGGTGATGGGATTTGTCTCTCCCAATGTCTTTTGGCTTTGGTCTGCTGTCAGGGTGGAGTCCACAAAGCCTGTATGGAATTAGCTTTAGGACATCCTTTTCCCCCTAACACCAGGAGTCATAAACATCCCAGAAGCTCTGACCTAGACTCAGAACACCTGTTCTAAACAATGGATTTCTCAGCATCCAAAAAGGCAGAGAGGGAAAATCCTGTTTGACATGAACTAGAGCACGAGGAGACAGAGTACCAAAGAAAACAGGAAAAATCAAAACTAGATCCAAAACAGGATGGGATCATGGACCCAGGAGGATCCATAAACAAGGGTCTCTTAGCAATACCTGACTCCTACACATACAAGCAGGATTCCTGGAACCTTCTATAGATCAGCAATTTCTGACCCACACAGTTGTCCCTGACGCAGCCTCTCCTCACACTGACTGCCCCATCTCCATCCTTACCCACAGGAAGGACTAGGTGACAAGGGATTAGAGGGTGTCCTGACCCCACATGACTTGCAGGGAGGACAGGGCAGGTGGAGGCAGGGGGGCCTGCAGTTCTCACAAGGGAGCCTGCAGTTCTCAGATGGAGGCTCCAGAGTGAAAGGAGACCAGGGATCCCAGGTCCTTCCTGGTGGGGTCCCTGATAGAGAAGGAGCAGAGGGGAGACAGGCAATAGGTCCCAGGACCCTCAGGATCACTCACCTGCACACAGCTGGGCCTTCCTTCTGGCTAAAAGGGAACACACAGGTGAGACCTCAGCACAATCACCTGCTTATGTGATCCAGGGGCCTTGGGGTCCCCCTGTTCTGCAGGTGAGACTCTTGTGGGGGGGTGGAGGGGAGAGGTTGAGAGGTCATGACCTCCTGCCCTGTGCAGACAGCAGGAGGTGATGGGAAACCCCTGGTTCAGATCAGGCACCTGCAGGACAGACTGACCTGCCTGCTGCTGCTGTGGGGCTTTGGGCAAGTCACTGAGTGGTTCTGGGCCCCAAAGCCTTCAAAAAATCATTCAATTGCTACTAGGTGTTGTATACAGTCAAAACTATATACAGGAAGAAATTTTTCAATGTGTATATAACTCCATAAGGATAACATTCAGTTTTCTCTGGAAAACTAACAATAAGATAAAATAAATACACAACATGTACATCAGACCAGCTCCACAGTAGAAGAGGCCCACATTTCTCTGATGCAATATTTCTAGAGATAAACTCTCTGGAAGATGGAAATTCTCCCCACCCCCTCCCATGCAGGATCACCCTGGCTCTCCAAACACTACTGATCAGCATCTTCAGGAGCAGAGAGAACAGACTCTCCTTGGGTGGGTTTTGGGGAGAGAGGGCAGGAGGAGGTCACTCCTGAACTTCAAGAGCCCAGTTATTTATAGGATCTCAGAGCAGCTGACTGTTGCTTCCAGGTGCTGACCAAGAACAAGATGCACTGAAGGCTAGAAAGCCAGCACCATGGTGGGAAGGTCAGGGTTGAATAGGGACAGGATGCAGGAGACTCCAGAGGTCACCACCCCCAGGATCCCCACAATGGGGGAAACAGCACCCAGATCTGGGAGAGCTAGGGAGAAGTGTTCTACCTCTCACCAACTTCTACGCACATGTGTGTACTCATACAGGCAAGAGGAGGGACCCCAGGGAACAGGGGACAGGGACCCAGGACCCCTGGAACATCACTCGCCAGCCAGGTAAGCTGCCTTCCTCTGGTCTGAAAGGAAACACAGGAAACAGGTGAGCTAAGAAATAGAATGTCTCCTATGAAGGGAACACAGAGAGTTCAGGAGGGAGAACAGAGCTTACCTAAAGTTGTCTGGAGTTCATCTGAAAGAGAATGAAAAAAATACGCATAAACTCCATCCTTAAAAAGAAACTGTGTGCCTAGAGAACCAACAAAAAGACCCTCTCTGTGTCCTACAAGTTCCACCATCAGACCCATCTAAGCATCCAAGCTCCACTGCCCTCTCTGGGTCTCCTCGGCTTCCTGCACTGACCTACCTGCAGACTGGCCCTGGGCTCTGGGTCTGTGGTCAGTTTGTCCCTCTCAGCACCCACTGCCATACTCACCAACCTGGACCAGTATTCATCCTTATCTGTGTCCTTCAGGGCCTCCTCCTTGGTCTCTCTGTCCTCCTCCTTAGCCCGGCACAGACTCCTCTGTTCCTGCAGCTCCCCCACCTGTGTCGAATGTTCTCTCTGGGTGCAGCAGGCAGCCCCCAGGAGCAGGAGCAGCAGCAAGGGCAGGCTCACCAGGAAAGCTGGCTTCCAGGGAGAGGCCCTGGGGAAGAAGTGTTCTGCAGACAGACACCCGCACAGAGACCCCATTAGGACACAGCCCAGGACAGCCCAGCCCAGCACCCCTGGGTGTGCCGGCCCCTCCCTCTGACCCTTCAGCGGGTGGGGAGTGGGGAGCAGTGCTAACCTGGGATGACAATGGCCATGGCCTTCTCCTGGCTCAGGACAGGGTTGAGGATGGAGCAGGTCACGCTCCCCGCAGAGCTATCTCTCACCACCAGAGTTCACCACCAGAGTGGCCTCCACACTGAACAGCCCCTCAGTGTCCTGGGCCTGGACCTTGGAGAACTCCAGGAACTGCTCCCCACGGGGGTGTCTCCACTGCACCTGGGGCTCTGGGAACCAGCCCGAGGCTGTGCACACCATGAGAACTCTGTCCTCCTCTGGTCCTGTGATGTGCACTTGGGGGGCAGAGCCCACACCTGCAGAGGGAAGATGAGAGATGGGTGGGGCAGGGTCTACCTGTGCACACTTCTAGAGAGGTTGTCAAGGTACATCATGGGGGTTCTGGGGAGACCACCCTGGGGGAATGAGTTTGCCCTGACATAGAGACCAGAAGGAAGGAGAAGAGAGGCTGGAAGGGCCTGGGCTCCTCTCCCAGCCCTGCAGGTAGAGAGATGATGCCCATAGGAGAGAAGAAGGAAGTTCATGACTCTGTCTCTAAACATATAAATCCTAAGGATAAATAAACCAAGGATAAAACTCCAGATCAGTCTAGGAGGAAAAGCACGTGCTACCAAATTTTCAAGGGCTTAATTTATACTGAGGCGTACATTTTGTCAACATAAAATCTTGACTGGACTTCTCCAATTAAAAATATTTGAAATTAGAAGATTTATGGAATAGATGTTTTTTGCGTGTTTTAATCACCCCAAACTACTGTATCAAACTGGTCTTCCGGTCCTCTGTGGTTCAGGGAGAGGGAATCTCCCCACCAAGGGTGACTGTTCCCTGAGCTCTAACCCCACAGATCACCACCTCTTGTAAGGACTGTTCCTATCATTCATTCTCGCTCTGTTGGTCTCTCTGTGTCTGTCTGTCTCTGTGTGTCTGTGTGTCTGTCTCTCTCTCTTTCTCTTTGTGTCTCTCTCTCTCTCATATCCTCTTCTCCTTCCCCTCCTCTACCCTCACCTCTCAAAGCTTACAAGTATTTATACATGATTGCTAATCCCTACCTTTCTACCTATTATTTTTTTATAATTTTGTAAACATTCTCAAATCTTTGTGGAATGTCTTTCCTTTCCCTGTTACCAGAGTGCACTTTAAAGTCCATAAACTGGGCCTCCCCGGTGGCACAGCGGTTGAGCGCTGGGTTGCGAAGCTGCCCGCAGCCTCTGCAGCGCTGGTTCAATCCCCGGTTGCTCCCCGGCCACGGGAGGAGGGTCCCACTTGGCGCACAGACCTCTCCTGCCGCCCGCTGCTCCCCTCAGCAGTGTACTTCGGTCCTTCTGCCTGCCCTGCTCCCCCCTTGGCTCTGGTGAATTCTCTCACCCTCCTGTGCTTCTGACTGTACCCAGTGCTTGTATAAATAAATAAATAAATCTTAAAAAAAAAAAAAAAGTCCATAAACAACTTTTCACCTGCACCACAGAGCAGATCCTCCTCTGCTCCACTTAATCTGCTCTGGGGACTCAACAAGAGTCTCCTGTTAGGCAGTCCCAATCCTCATGTTCCTCACTTGTCTCCCTTCAGCATGGGGCACTTAAGAATTCATCCTGAAAACACTTGTATATCATTTGCTTTCCCTTATTTTGAGAGTGGTTTGTTACACCATGGACCCCCTGCTGAGCCTCTTTCTTGATATTTTTCCCTGCACTTGATCCTTGAAGGCAGCTCAGTCCCAGGGATCAGTCCTAGAGCCCTGTCTTATCTCACACCCTCTCCCAGGACATCTTTTCCCTCAGCTTCTGTGTCTCCTTATATATCACTTCCAAATACCAACTCACCAGCTCTCTTGACCTACCTCATAGCTCCATCTCTGTGGTACATCTACCAGGATTCCTCACATGTACTTCACACTCACAATTCTACATTGGGACTCATGCTTTTGTCTCATATGTAGTAAGATGGCAATAAAAATATACCTAATTCTTCATGCTTCTACCTCATACTCTGCCACCTACGTTTCACTTACATTCTGACTCTGAAATCAGGAAGGTGATATGTTCCTAATGAGAGATCAGTTAAGTTGAGTCAAGCAGGTTTAAAATGCTGGCCCCATGGGTCTTCCCTCTGCCCTCTCCATGGAAGGACATCTCAGTCCAGGTGCTGGAGGATGAGCTCATGGAGCAGGGCCTGTCACCAGCCTTTCCAGCTGATGCTGTTCTCCTCAGCCAGGAGCCAGCAACCACAGTTCATGTAACAAGCCCAGATAAAAGGTGGTGAAATTTTATCTGACCAAAGATGTATGAATGAGGCCACTTGAGATTAGTCAAGTCCCTCCCTGGTTTTCTGAAGTTCTCACAGGCCCAAAGTAAATACAAATCCATTACTACAGGCTACTGATACATTTCTCTGTGGCTGTTACACAGCATCATTATGGTGATAGATAACTGATACATATCACTAATGTTCCTAACATTAAATAATAGACACGCAAAACTTGGAACCCTTTGTGATCCAAGCTTCCTACATTGAACTCTCAGTCCCAATTCTAAGCATCCATTTTGGTTTTGTATCTAATCCTCATTGATGACTGACCTCCTTTCCACCCACTGCCACAATGAGAAGTCTGGCATCCTCTTCTCCACCCCACACACAACTCCACGCCTCCAAACTTTCTACCCTCCAGTCTCCTCCTATTACTCCAGAGTCTACATTCTAAGAACAGTTCTGCTTAAATTCTTCAACAGCTCCACATCTAAGCACAATAACTCAGCACACCAAGTCTTCTCTCTTCAACTGCCTTCTTCCCGACCCTCTTCTTTCTGCTTCCCTCACAATTTTATCAAATGGTGCCCTCAAAGCCCCACGCTCCAAACCAAGTATGTAACTGCCATTAACCACAATCTCCATGCTCCATGGACTCCATCATCCTTTCTTTGGGTCTAAGGGTTTTATGGAAACTTGTCTGATAAAATGAAGTCCCAGGTCAAGGTCTACTTCCTATACATTTTTATGATCAATTCTGGTAGCACTGATCAACTAATCTCAACCTGTGTTCCCTGTACCCATGACATCTTTTTTTTTTTTAAGATTTATTTATTTTTATACAAGAACTGGAGTACAGGCTAGATGCTCGGGAGGGTGAGAGGATTCAATGGAGACAGAGTGGGAAACAGAACAGACAGACTGAAGAAATATACTGCTGAGGGGAGCAGCAGGCGCCACAGGAGAGGTTTGCCACAACATGTGGGATTCTCGCCAGCTGGCCAGGATCGAACCCACACTGCAGAGGCTGTGGATAGCATCACAGTAAGGCACTCAACTGCCTGAGCCACAAGGGAGGCCCCTACACATGACATCTTTTTGTAACAGTATCGTTACCTCTTAACCCCCTGCTTCCTCACTCTCTCCCACCGGCCATGAGGACTCCATGTGAGCCAAGAATACACCAAACACACATCACCCCAGATCACCCACACTGACTGTTCCCTCCACACAGAAATTGCATTCCCTGTGATTTACAACATATTTGTTAAAGCTAACAATGCTGTAGGAAAGTGATTAAGGGCATAATTCCTAAGGGTTTTTCTCAATCTAGAAAGTTTTCCCTGTTTTGCCTCTTTTACTTGTTTTTTTTTTTTTAACTACAACCAAATTGGAATACGGATGTTAATTAACCTAGTTTGACAATCATCTCACTATATGTATAAGTCAAATCATCATACTCTATGCCCTAGACTCACAAAATGATGTAAATTGTTTCTCAATAAAACTGGGGTGAAAGATATACCAGATATCTGTTTAACTAAATCCTCATTTCCTCTGAATCTTTGCTCAAATGGGACCAGCCTGAGCTCCCATTTACCGCTAAAACTTGCACATTGCTGGTCTAGTCCATTGCCATTGTGCAATGTAGCATCTTATTCTCATCATTTATCACTTCCTAAAATCATTTATAACCTGTTTATTTATTGTGATTGCTCTATCTCCCACTTGAAAACAAACTCATAGAGTGAAGAACTTGATTAGATTCACTGATGTATCCAAGTGCTTAGAACAGACCCAGACATATAGTAGGTCCTCTGTATATTTATGTTTAATACAACAAAGAATTAATAACTCTTTTCTTCTGCATGAATGAAATGAGAGACTAAATTATATTGTCTTTAGTTTCTTCCCAGCTACGAAATTCTGGGACTCTGAGAAGCTTAACCATGTCACCAATCTGTCACCTCTAACTGCAAACTGCTTGCTCATAGAAGTCTCCATCTCTGAAGCTGCAGGTGTACAGCCCATTGTCAGAAGCCTGGACCTTGTGGATGTGCACAGCAGCCTCCCCCTTGCTGAGTAATTCTTCCATAAGCAAGGTCTGCCCTGCATACTGGTCTGCCCATTAGCTCATCATTCCACTCCTGTTTGTCTTGATAGATGAACACCAATTCTGAGATATTGGACCAGAACCACCTCAACTCCATGTTCTCTGCACTCATGACTGGGTCCAGGAAGTAGGACAGTGTGATGTCCTCACCCAGCATGGCCACAATTGGGGGTCTAAGAGGGCAATCACATGGAACTGTTCTGTGAACACATGTGGGAGTTAGAACAGTTGAGACGCACACCAAAAGCAGGGAACACAAACCATCACTGTGGGGGGGCCCAGGAAGACTGAGGGAAATTGTCTGATGAGAAGACTGCTGACATGAAGCATTGAGCAATGAGACCTCAAGAGGTTGTGAATTCACAAGAAGTGAACAACTCTTCAATATGTAATTTCAAAGATATGAAAGATCTTCCTATAAAGTAGGAGTTAAATATTGCAATAATAAAGTCAAACAGATGGGGGAAAACAGACAATGACTAATCACAGAGATACAATATAATTTAGTCTCTCATTTCATTCATTCTGAACTAAATTCAGAATAATAAATTAATGGGCTGGGAAACAAATTAATGAACAGAAATAAAATTTGAAGCTTTCAATAATAAAATAATAGAGATTTAGGCTGTAAAAAGATCAACAGAGAAGATACAAATCTGGAGAAGCTATTGGATCAAAATAGACTAAAGGCAAGATTGAATCTGTCTTTTCAAAGATACTAATACACAAAGGACTCAGTTGGAAAAAGAAAGAGAAAAATGAAGAAAAAAAGAAGAAACAGTTCAAGAACTACCCAACTCCATGAGGAAAGGTAACATAAGAAGGATAATTGGTATTCCAGAAGGGGAACAAGAAGAGATTGGAATGAAAACCATTAAGAAATTGAGGGAAATGTCCAACCCGCAGAAGGAACTGAATATATAAGTGAATGAAGCTAAA